CACGCTGGAGAAGACCGTTGACGCACTGAAGATCACGATACCACCCCCGGCGCTCGGCCCGCCGTCGCTCCCACCTTCTCCGCCTGGCGGGGTCGACCTTGAGGCGCAGACCACCATCTCGCCCAGCCCGCCCCGCCGTGGGGCGGTTGAGCTCCGCCGAGCGAACCAGACCTCGCGTCAGCCTGAATCACTCTGGTCGCTTGTGTGAGCGCTCTCACTTCCATTATTTGTTATTCCATTATTCAGTATTCCAGTCCAAGCTTGATACAAGTGCGGAGCCTGTCGCGTCCCTGGACGTCACTTGGTCATATGTGCATTAGGTTCCAAGGGGGCATGTGTGTAATTGATCGCGTCTATACAAAAAGAGACGTTTCGCACACAAGCGTTCGCACTGAGACGCCGCGGCGCCCGAACAGTCCGTGACCGGCTCAATCCGCGTCGTCAGCGGCGTACTTGGAGTAGTCGGGGCCATCGTTGCGCGACTTCATACTGCTCGGCCCCGTCGTCTTGCCGAAGCGGTAGTCGGAGGGCGCCTGCGGGGAGACGTCGAGGCGAGGTTGATGCCGAATGCAACTTGTACGCGGGTGCCGAGGGGTTTCGGGGAGAGGCTGCACCTCCGGCGCCAGCGCCGTCTTGCGCGTGCCGACGACGCGCAGGGACTGCGCGGCGGCCCGCGCGTCCGCCTCGGCGCCAGACTTTTTCCACCGCGCCGCGGACGCGCCTGAGGGCAGGCCCAAGGAAGGGTCCGGCGCGGCGTGCGGCCACTCTGTCTTTGCCACATAGCGGACGCGCCCGCGACGAGCAGCAGCGCGTCGGTGGAGCCGGCGGGTTGCACCGCAGAAACGACCGCCTTGCGCGACTGGTGTTCACACACGAGGCGTGAGGGACTTGGAGCATCGGGTGAACTCGGGCGGGCGATATCCGGCGCGAAGGCATGGGCGACCGTGAAGCAGCAAGGGAGCCTGCACATTGCCCTCTCGGGAGCTGGTTGGCATCTAGGCTTGCGCGCAGATTCGGCGCCGCCCGGAGAGAGCGACGTGAAGGAGATGTCGACAAGCCGCTTGCCGCTCGACGTGGCGTCGGCGATCACCTTGCCGTCGACAGGAGCCCCATACGCACCGTACCGCCCGTCCACTCCAAGGACGGCGGAGGTGAACCACTTGGCGGGCAGCGAGTCGAGCGTCGAGCCCTTGGGCAGCGCCACGCGCTGCAGAAAGGCGGCCTCCCCGTCGCGGGTGTTCGCCTCCACGTCGTAATAGCCGCCCTCTGCAAGCTTCCACTTGCTGTCGAATGCGACCGAGCAGATCAGCCCGCCGGCGACGACGAGGTCAGCGCTGAGAGTCTGGCCTTGCTGTGACACCTGGTCGACGAGAACGACGCCGAGGTCGGGGCGCGTTTTGCCGGTCATCGTCGTCGCCGAGATGGCCAGAGCGCTCGGCGGATGGATCAGCCCGCCACAGCCGCAGCCGCAGCCGAACGCCAGCGGGGAAAGGAGGCCAGCCGCCACGAGCGGCGGCGCAGACAGGACCGCGCGGCGCCGCATCGGCTGCGGGACGAGGCTAGCAGCGAGCGGGAGGATGAGGAGGAGGGCCATAGAAGGTGCTTCGGTGTCCGGCCACCGAGGTGCTTTAACCCCTTCCCAGATAGGGGGTCTTCGAACTGACTGGACACCAACGCGGTATGGGTGGACGCCGGACAGATGATTCACACCGAGCAGCGAGGGCAAACCCCGGAAAGTGCGGCAAAAATAAGCGCCTGCACGTGTAGGCGCGCAGCTTAGCCAAGGCTCGCGCCCACACGCTAGGTGCTTGTGTCAGATACGCGCCCACACGTGCAGGTGCGAGCCTCTAGGGGGGGTCCCGAGGCGGGGGGGGGGGTCCCGAGGCTTCACCACATGCTAGGGGGGGGGTCCCGCCCCCCCCAGCGCCTTCACCACACGCTGGGGGGGGGGGTCGTGCAGGCCGAGGACCCCCCCAGGTCAGAACTTCCGGGCCCTTGATTTTACACCTCATTTCGCAGCCTTTTTCGAGGAAAATCAGGGGGTTGGCCCGACGAGCCGATCTCATATCGGTGGCTGGGCCACGGTTATGAGCTTCATGCATGGCGGCGGCGACGCTCACTGGGCTGCCCCGAGGCTCCCGGTGCCGCCCCTTAAACGTGCATGATCTTGTCTTGTTGGGAAGAGCTCTAAGAAACGATCTGAATTTCATGATCTGGTGTGTCCACACGGGTCTACATCTGCATGCCATGTCATATCATGCGAAAACACATGCACCATGCGGGAGGGCAAGGTGGCGCGGACGGAGGGGGCGAGACAGTAGGTAGGGTAGGTCTGGGCCATCCCGTCGGGTTTTTCCCTCTCTTCAAGCTGGAATTATCAAAAAAAGAAATTTTCCGCGGAAATCACGATGTCAACCACCCTCCCCAAATGGGTGATCTGATGCTTGTAGGGCTTGAGAGTGGCCTGCCATGTCACAAGAAGGACTGTGGTTGCAGGAGAGTACCACCAACCATCACTCTAGTTGGTATAGTACCCCAGCTTCACCCACGAGCGATTTCTTCTTTAGTTTCCCATAAGTAAGGTAGGTAGGTAGGTAGGTAGGTAGGGGCACCGCAGGGGCCGGCCAGGTTTTTGCAGAATTTCAGCATCAGGTCCGCCCAAGCAAAAAAAGTACACACCTGCCCCTATACTATACTCTAGAAACACAATCCAGAGCTAGGTACTGCGACGGTGTATCATTCACTTTACCGTTGCATATCCGGATATGCAACGGTGGCATAAAGTGAATGATACACCGTCGCAAAACTGCATTGGGTCTCGAGTTACACCGTCGCAGGTACCCATAGCCATATACGTACGGTAAGACACCGTCGATATGTGTAAAAGCTAGCCCCGTTCGTCACGTTTTATGGTGAACAGCGGCGAAACAGCGCAATGCTCGCAGTGACGCACCCCGTTACCTCCAGCCGGGCCCGCGCTTGCCCTTGGTCTTGACGCGGCCGGTCGAGCCGCCGTCCCACTCCTCTTTCTTCTCCCACTTGCTCTCCTGCTTCGGGTTCCCCTTGACATAGACCGCCTCGCCGTCGCGGTACATCGTCCGGTTGCCCCCAACCGCCTCCTTGCGGCTCTGCGCGTACGGCAGCCGCGGCGGCTCGAGCGGCGGAGGCGCCCCGCCCTCCGCGTCAAAATCGCGCTGCGCGTCGTACCGCCCGAGCACGCGACGGCGGTCCACCTTGCGCTGCCGCTGCTGCTGCGCGGCGGCGGCCACCTCCAGCTGCGCCGCGCGCAGCTGCTCAGCCCGCATCTCCTCCTCGAGCGTCTCGAGGCTGCCGCCGAGCAGGACCTCTATCGCCGCCTGCACGTCGCCTCCCTCGCACCGCAGAACGTGCCTCGCCAGCGCCGCGCTGGCGGCCGGCACAACCTCGAGCAGCGTCAGCTCGGCCGTGCTCGGCGTCGGCGGCGCCAGCGGCGCCGTGAGGGAGCGGCCGCCCGTGGGGCTAGCACCGCTGGCGCAGCAGCTGCGGCCGCTGCTGCGGCCGCTGCTGCGGCTGCTGCTGCGGCCGGAGCCGCTGCCGCCGCCACCGCTGCTGCTGCAGCTGCTGACGTCGCCACCGCGTCCGCCTCCGCCATTTTCGCCACAACATGCCGTGGATGTCCTCTCAACACGGCCCGAAGCAGGCGCAGCCGTTGCTGACTGTTCGCGCAGGCCTCTGCTCGTATGTCCTCTGACCCCTCGGTGCCGATGCCATGAGCGGCGAGGAGATCCACGATGCCGTCGAGGTCCGAGTCGCTTTCGGCGTCCTCAGCGACAGAGCGGACGTAGGCCTCGACGTCCTCGTCGAGGGAGGTGAGCCAGGGGCACGCATGGCCGGTCATGGAGAGTTCGACTCTTCTTCCCATCCTCCATTCATGCATCCCCGTCATGCTGGGGTGATCAGTAGTAGGGAGCTCGCCGTCCACAACGTGGGGCTCAATGGATATGAGGAACGCGGGGCTCCGATAGGGTCCCGCGCCGGTCGGGTTGGTGTACCGACGGGGACCCTAACCCGCTGAACCTCCCGGCTAGGCCGGTAGGGGACGGGGCGGCACTCGTATAGCAAGGCCCGTGGGGCACTCGCCACGGGCCGCTCCCACATGTCCCGGGCACAACTCCTCCGGAGAGTTCGCCCACCTCAGGACCGATGTCCATGTGGGTCAGTCAGTGTTCGTTGTGGCGACCGAGTGCTCGCTGAGCGGCACCGAAGTGTGTCGCTACGGGCGGGATATGCTAGCTATTCTCGATTGCTCACCTTGATACGATTGCTTGCGCGAAGGCAGCGGAGGCGCGCAGCGAGAGACAAGCGATCCTGCTGCTGCAAGAGCAAAGCAGGTTAGGCCGAGCGACTGTCGACTCGAGCGTTGGTCGATCTGCGCGTGTAGGCGGAGTAGATAACCACCACGGCCGCGGCACACCTCGCAAAGGTGGCCCATGTGTAGAGCGCACCGAGAGGTCGCGCGACGGGGCCGAGTCGAGCGTCGCGCTCAAGCCGTTGCCTCTGGTCTGCATCGTGCGCCACACGGCGGCGCGTCGATAGCGATGTAGCGCCCCAGGGGCACCCGAGAGGGCGCCTGCGCGGCTGAGGGGCGCACTAGAGCAGCCCGGTGAGCCCTAGCGAGGCGCGGGGCGCGCTCGAGCGGGCGGCCGCTATGAGTCTCTGAGTATGCCGAGATGAGGCATGCTCGTGTAAGAGGCGGCGAGGCGGCTGCGGCTGCAGGCGGCCTTCTCGCCAAAGGCACGTGACGCGAAGGCGTGCGGTGCGTGTAGAGGAGGCGCGGCCCGCCTCGCGAAGGCGGCCAGCGCATGTGTGGCGCGCCGAGAGGTCGTTCGACGCAGCGAAGTAGAGCGTCGCGCTCGATCGACTCGAGCAGCTGCCTCTGGTTTGCGTCGTGCGCCACACGGCGGCGCGTCGCGGGCGATGAAGCGCCTCGAGGGCACTCGGGAGGGTGCCTGTCTGGCTGAGGGGCGCGCTACAGCGGCACGGTGAGCCCTAGCGAGGCGCGGGGCGCGCTCGAGCGGGCGGCCGCTATGAACGTCTGAGTATGCCGAGATGAGGCATGCTCGTGTGAGAGGCGGAGAGGTGGCTGCGGCTGCAGGCGGCCCTTCTCGCCAACGGCACGCGGCGCGAAGGCGTGCGGTGCGTGTAGAGGAGGCGCAGGGCGCCTCGCGAAGGCGGCCAGCGCATGTGTGGCGCGCCGAGAGGTCGCCCAGCGCGGCGGAGTCGGGCGTCGCGCTCGATCGACTCGAGCAGCTGCCTCTGGTTTGCGTCGTGCGCCACACGGCGGCGCGTCGCGGGCGATGAAGCGCCTCGAGGGCACTCGGGAGGGTGCCTGTCTGGCTGAGGGGCGCGCTACAGCGGCATGGTGAGCCCTAGCGAGGCGCGGGGCGCGCCCGAGCGGGCGGCCGCTATGAGTCTCTGAGTATGCCGAGATGAGGCATGCTCGTGTGAGAGGCGGAGAGGCGACTGCGGCTGCAGGCGGCTTTCTCGCCAAAGGCACCACGGCGCGAAGGCGTGCGGTGCGTGTAGAGGAGGCGCAGGGCGCCTCGCGAAGGCGGCCAGCGCATGTGTGGCGCGCCGAGAGGTCGTTCGACGCAGCGAAGTAGAGCGTCGCGCTCGATCGACTCGAGCAGCTGCCTCTGGTTTGCGTCGTGCGCCACACGGCGGCGCGTCGCGGGCGATGAAGCGCCCCGAGGGCACTCGGGAGGGTGCCTGTCTGGCTGAGGGGCGCGCTACAGCGGCACGGTGAGCCCTAGCGAGGCGCGGGGCGCGCTCGAGCGGGCGGCCGCTATGAGTCTCTGAGTATGCCGAGATGAGGCATGCTCGTGTGAGAGGCGGAGAGGCGGCTGCGGCTGCAGGCGGCCTTCTCGCCAAAGGCACGTGACGCGAAGGCGTGCGGTGCGTGTAGAGGAGGCGCGGCCCGCCTCGCGAAGGCGGCGAGCGCATGTGTGGCGCGCCGAGAGGTCGTTCGACGCAGCGAAGTAGAGCGTCGCGCTCGATCGACCCGAGCAGCTGCCTCTGGTTTGCGTCGTGCGCCACACGGCGGCGCGTCGCGGGCGATGAAGCGCCTCGAGGGCACTCGGGAGGGTGCCTGTCTGGCTGAGGGGCGCGCTAGAGCGGCACGGTGAGCACTAGCGAGGCGCGGGGCGCGCTCGAGCGGGCGGCCGCTATGAATCTCTGAGTATGCCGAGATGAGGCATGCTCGTGTGAGAGGCGGAGAGGCGGCTGCGGCTGCAGGCGGCCTTCTCGCCGAAGGCACGCGGCGCGAAGGCGTGCGGTGCGTGTAAGGGAGGCACAGGGCGCCTCGCGAAGGCGGCCAGCGCATGTGTGGCGCGCCGAGAGGTCGTTCGACGCAGCGAAGTAGAGCGTCGCGCTCGATCGACTCGAGCAGCTGCCTCTGGTTTGCGTCGTGCGCCACACGGCGGCGCGTCGCGGGCGATGAAGCGCCTCGAGGGCACTCGGGAGGGTGCCTGTCTGGCTGAGGGGCGCGCTACAGCGGCACGGTGAGCCCTAGCGAGGCGCGGGGCGCGCTCGAGCGGGCAGCCGCTATGAATCTCTGGGTATGCCGAGATGAGGCATGCTCGTGTGAGAGGCGGAGAGGCGGCTGCGGCTGCAGGCGGCCTTCTCGCCAAAGGCACGCGGCGCGAAGGCGTGCGGTGCGTGTAGAGGAGGCGCGGCCCGCCTCGCGAAGGCGGCGAGCGCATGTGTGGCGCGCCGAGAGGTCGTTCGACGCAGCGAAGTAGAGCGTCGTGCTCGATCGACTCGAGCAGCCGCCTTTGGTCTGCATCTCGCGCCACGAGGAGGCACGCCGCGAGCTAGGGGGCGCCTCGAGGGCACTCGGGAGGGTGCCTCGCGAAGGCGGCGAGCGCATGTGTGGCGCGCCGAGAGGTCGTTCGACGCAGCGAAGTAGAGCGTCGCGCTCGATCGACTCGAGCAGCTGCCTCTGGTTTGCGTCGTGCGCCACACGGCGGCGCGTCGCGGGCGATGAAGCGCCTCGAGGGCACTCGGGAGGGTGCCTGTCTGGCTGAGGGGCGCGCTAGAGCGGCACGGTGAGCACTAGCGAGGCGCGGGACGCGCCCGAGCGGGCGGCCGCTATGAATCTCTGAGTATGCCGAGATGAGGCATGCTCGTGTGAGAGGCGGAGAGGCGGCTGCGGCTGCAGGCGGCCTTCTCGCCAAAGGCATGCGGCGCGAAGGCGTGCGGTGCGAGTAGAGGAGGCACAGGGCGCCTCGCGAAGGCGGCCAGCGCATGTGTGGCGCGCCGAGAGGTCGTTCGACGCAGCGAAGTAGAGCGTCGCGCTCGATCGACTCGAGCAGCTGCCTCTGGTTTGCGTCGTGCGCCACACGGCGGCGCGTCGCGGGCGATGAAGCGCCCCGAGGGCACTCGGGAGGGTGCCTGTCTGGCTGAGGGGCGCGCTAGAGCGGCACGGTGAGCACTAGCGAGGCGCGGGGCGCGCCCGAGCGGGCGGCCGCTATGAGTCTCTGAGTATGCCGAGATGAGGCATGCTCGTGTGAGAGGCGGAGAGGCGGCTGCGGCTGCAGGCGGCCTTCTCGCCAAAGGCACGCGGCGCGAAGGCGTGCGGTGCGAGTAGAGGAGGCGCAGGGCGCCTCGCGAAGGCGGCCAGCGCATGTGTGGCGCGCCGAGAGGTCGTTCGACGCAGCGAAGTAGAGCGTCGCGCTCGATCGACTCGAGCAGCTGCCTCTGGTTTGCGTCGTGCGCCACACGGCGGCGCGTCGCGGGCGATGAAGCGCCCCGAGGGCACTCGGGAGGGTGCCTGTCTGGCTGAGGGGCGCGCTAGAGCGGCACGGTGAGCCCTAGCGAGGCGCGGGGCGCGCTCGAGCGGGCGGCCGCTATGAGTCTCTGGGTATGCCGAGATGAGGCATGCTCGTGTGAGAGGCGGAGAGGCGGCTGCGGCTGCAGGCGGCCTTCTCGCCAACGGCACGCGGCGCGAAGGCGTGCGGTGCGTGTAGAGGAGGCGCAGGGCGCCTCGCGAAGGCGGCGAGCGCATGTGTGGCGCGCCGAGAGGTCGTTCGACGCAGCGAAGTAGAGCGTCGCGCTCGATCGACTCGAGCAGCTGCCTCTGGTTTGCGTCGCGCGCCACACGGCGGCACGTCGCGAGCGATGCAGTGCGCCCCGAGGGCACTCGGGAGGGTGCGAGTGAATAGGCAAGGCTCCGACGCTATCATTGAGTTGCTATCGTGGGCGTGCCACGCCCTCGATCGTCGGCGAGAGGCACCCAGCGAGCGGCTAGCGCGGGGGGCCGATCGTCATTGGGTCATTATCGTGGGCGTGCCGCCCTCGATTGTCCGCGATGGGCGCCCAGCGAGCGCAGAGCGCGGGGGGGCGACACACGCGACAGGTGCTCTGTGAGCGACCTGTGAATGATAGATGTGAACAGGCGAGGTTTGACGCCATCGCCCTCACGCCCTGCATGGTGGCAGAGAAGGGGAAGGTCGGTGGGTGCGCGAAGCGTTGTCGCGGGGCCCAGAGCCGGGGGCGAGGCGCTCGGCTGTGGTAGGCAAGTGGGCGAGCGCCATTGGGCGGCTCAGCCATAGGCACGTCGTAAGGAACGCGTTGTCTTGAAAGTAGGCGCACGTACGTCCTCTTTCGTTTTCACAGCAGAGCCAGGCTCTGTGTGTGAGGGCTGGATGCACCAGTACTCCGGTGTGAAGAAAGGCTACCGCCCCGCTCGTACCTCGCGGGGCTATCGCTCATTCTTCCCATCCTCCATTCATGCATCCCCGTCATGCTGGGGTGATCAGTAGTAGGGAGCTCGCCGTCCACAACGTGGGGCTCAATGGATATGAGGAACGCGGGGCTCCGATAGGGTCCCGCGCCGGTCGGGTTGGTGTACCGACGGGGACCCTAACCCGCTGAACCTCCATCGAGTAAGTATTGAAGTGGGTTAGGATCGAGAGAGCTCGTTTCCATTGAGTCCCGTGTGGAGGGATCGAGATCATTCGTTTACATGATGTGTACAAATTTCATCCTTCCCCTGAGCGCACGAGAGCTCGACAGGAGCGCACGAGAGCGACTGTAGTGGAGTCACTAGTGCGCAATGACGGCGCTAGCGGTCTTCGGGTCCGCACCCCTCTCCGTCTCGCGCCTCGGCGGCGGCGAGCGGCTCGCATCAGCTCACCTGTTCCTCGCGGTGGCTAGCCACCCTTTCTCCCGGCTCGAGCCGTAGAAGTGGCGAGTGGTCTCATGAGCGCACTGCTGGTGGCTGGCGGTCCTCGGGTCCGCACCCCTTCTCCCAACTCGAGCCGTGGTGGCGAGTGGTCTCATGAGCGCACCGATGGTGGCTGGCGGTCCTCGGGTCCGCATCCCTTCTCCCAGCTCGAGCCGTGGTGGCGAGTGGTCTCATGAGCGCACCGATGGTGGCTGGCGGTCCTCGGGTCCGCACCCCTTCTCCCAACTCGAGCCGTGGTGGCGAGTGGTTTTATGAGCGCACCGTTGGTGGCTGGCGGTCCTCGGGTCCGCACCCCTTCTCCCAACTCGAGCCGTGGTGGCGAGCCAGCGGTCCTCGGGTCCGCACCCCTTCTCCCAACTCGAGCCGTGGTGGCGAGTGGTTTTATGAGCGCACCGTTGGTGGCTGGCGGTCCTCGGGTCCGCACCCCTTCTCCCAACTCGAGCCGTGGTGGCGAGTGGTTTTATGAGCGCACCGTTGGTGGCCGGCGGTCCTCGGGTCCGCACCCCTTCTCCCAGCTCGAGCGGTGGTGGCGAGTGGTTTTATGAGCGCACCGATGGTGGCTGGCGGTCCTCGGGTCCGCACCCATTGCCAGCCGGAGCCGTGGAGGCTGCTACGGCACCTCCTCTCTGCGGGGAGCGGTCGGTGGCGTTGCCACTGGACGCGCTGCGACCCAGGAGTGGTCTCATGAGCGCACCGATGGTGGCTGGCGGTCCTCGGGTCCGCACCCCTTCTCCCAACTCGAGCCGTGGTGGCGAGTGGTCTTCTGAGCGCACCGTTGGTGGCCGGCGGTCCTCGGGTCCGCACCCCTGCGCATCAGAGTGTATCTCGGCGAGGCCGCTGCGCTCACACGCATGTGATGCGAGCCTGCGCCACTCCATCCGGCCCGCAGTGGGCCCACGGGATGGTGAAGGGCACATGCGTAGAGAAGTGCGAGGGTGAGAGGCACTGGATTTCCAGAGTGCTCGCGACGGTCGGGAGGCGATCCCGCGTGGCAGCCCCGATGTAGGCGCACCGCCTGGCACCCTCACTTCACCCTCTCTGCTGCATGTTCGAGCTGTGGTTGGCTCTGAAGCAACTTGGCCGACAAAACTTTTCTGTCAGAATCGTCGCAGAAGCAGGACGGCCCGCTGGCAGGAGCGGAGCCGGTCGGTTTCCATTGTCAAGACTGCGCGAAGCGTTGTCGCGGGGCCCAGAGCCGGGGGCGAGGCGCTCGGCTGTGGTAGGCAAGTGGGCGAGCGCCATTGGGCGGCTCAGCCATAGGCACGTCGTAAGGAACGCGTTGTCTTGAAAGTAGGCGCACGTACGTCCTCTTTCGTTTTCACAGCAGAGCCAGGCTCTGTGTGTGTGAGGGCTGGATGCACCAGTACTCCGGTGTGAAGAAAGGCTACCGCCCCGCTCGTACCTCGCGGGGCTATCGCTCATTCGAGAGGAACGCAAGGTTTGAAGAAATCTTCGGCCCGTTTGAAGAAATCGGAGAGTTTTTGCTTATCTTCCCCGCGGCTTTTAGCTGCACACACCAACGAGACACGCACACCAACAGCGCGACAATTTGCATGACTGCCGCGCGAGTCGGGACCGTCGTCGTCGACGGCGAGGTCGTGCCGCACAACTTGGAGCTCCAGCAGCCAGACCTGCGAGCCGCGGCCGGAGCGCCGGCAGCTCGAGAGGTTTTTGTGCGGAAGGCCTGTCCTGCCGGCCGACCGGCCGCAGCCATCACCTGCTCCTTTGGGATCGTCGCCGCTGCTCTCGCGTACACGCTCTTCTACCTGATTGCTGCGCCGCCGCCGCTGCCCGTGGCAGCGCCGCTCCCGTCGGCAGACAGGGTGCTGACGCGGGTCGTGCACGGCTCGTGCTCGAAGCAGACGCTGCCGCAGCCCTTCTGGCGCACCGTGGGGTCGCTCGCGCCCGACCTCTTCGTTTACAACGGCGACATCGTGTACGGCGACTGCGCCGACGTCGCGCGGCCGCACGAGGCGTGGAGCGAGCCGGCGTGCGAGGAGCTGCGCACTGCGTGGGCGGACCTGTTCGCCCACGAGGAGTTTACGAGCGCGCGGGCGGTGACGCCGGTGATCGGCATGCCGGACGACCACGACTACGGGCTCAACGACTGCGGCGCGTCGAACCCGTACAAGCAGACCGCCAAGGATCTCTTCCTCGAGCGGTTCGGCGCGGCGGAGGACGACCCGCGGCGCTCGCGGGGCGGGCTTTACACGTCGCACGCCTTCGGAGCGGCGCCCAACCGGACGCAGGTCATTCTGCTCGACACGCGCTGGTTCCGCTCCGAGCTCAAGCGCGACAGCGGCGCGGCGCACGGGCGGTACGCGCCCTACACGGAGGCGGAGGCGGAGGCGGGGCGGCTCACCATGCTTGGCGAGGAGCAGTGGGCTTGGCTCGAGGCGCGGCTGCGGGAGCCTGCGGATCTGCGGCTCGTGTTCTCGACGGTGCAGGTGCTCTCGACGGCGCACGGCTGGGAGCGGTGGGGACTGATCCCCACGGAGGTGCGCCGGCTGCGCCGGCTGATCCGCTCCTCTGCCGCGCGCGGCGTCGTCTTTCTTTCCGGGGACCGGCACGTGGGAGGCGTATACGTGCAGCCGGCCGCGGCGGGCCTCAACCCGTACCCTCTCTACGAGGCGACGGCGTCCTCACTCACCCACACCGTCCCGCCCTCCCTCGCCACGCGCGACGAGCCTCCGCACGAGCCGGACGCCGACCTCTCCTCTGCGGCTCGGCGGCTCGGCGCGCTTCTCCACCTGAACCATGTCGGCAGCGTCGACGTGGACTGGGAGGCCCGCGCCGTCACGCTGCGCCTCATCACTGACGACACGTGCGCCTCCCACGCACGCACGCACGCACGCACGCACGCACGCACGCACGCACACACGCACGCACGCACGCACACACACACACACACACGCACGCACGCACGCACGCACGCACGCACGCACGCACGCACGCACGCACGCACGCACGCACGCACGCACGCACGCTCACCCACGCGCATTGGGCCTTGCACTCTAACTGCCGTGGGGCTCCTGTCGTCTAGACGTGGAGTCGCGAGGGATGCCCAGCCTCTTCCCCCACCGCCTTGCGTGTGTGGAGAAGCTCACCTTGCCTTGCCTCCTGCAGGTGCGCTGCGCCGGCGTGGGAGGGCTGCCAGCAGGGGGGCAGCACCGCCGGCGCAACGGAACGGTCGGTGACGCTGCGACTCGACGTCGACCTCGCACCCCCGCCCGAGTGCGGCCGCCCGTGCGCCACGCCGCTCAACCCGGCGGCGACGTGCGCCGCTTTCGAGGGCCTCTTCTCCTGCGCCGGCAGCAGCGAGCTGCTCGGCTGCAACTGCACGGGCTGCTGCGCCGGCGAGGGGGAGCTGTAGGGTTGCGTGGGGCCGTGAGTGATGCAGTGCAGAGGGGCAGAGTTTGCGCTCACGCGCGGGCGGCGGGTGGGAGGTGTCCGACGGCTGGTCTCTTCGGCTGTTGTTGACTGTTGTGTGCATTGAACAAGAGAGCAGAGGGGTTTGTCGTGCTGCGTGGCCCCTGTGGCTGTGCATCTCTCAGCGAGACCACGCGCGCTACACGCAACACGGCTCTATGCAGTGTGTGTGTGCGCGCGTTCGAGTTGTGAGCTTGTGTGTTGTGACCGGTCACATGCCTCTCATGCGTGATAGTTACGTTAAATATGTACGTGTGTAACTCTGTCAAAACTGTTGTACCGTCAGACGTGGAGACGCGAGGGTTGCCCCCCCTTGCCCCACCACCTCGTGTGTGTGGAGAAGTTTACCTTACCTTACCTTACCTGTGTACCGCCGAGCGACCCGTGAGCGAGAGAGCGCGAGAACCGCAAAGGCCAAGGGCCAAGGCGCTTGGTCCTTGGAGCACTTGGAATGCACACTTCGTACCGCTTCCAATCTATAGTAAGGTAAGGTATACCCCCCCACGCACACGCTGGGGCGCGGCCACGAATAGCCACCCCCCGGTCTTCCACGGCATTCGCTAACCCAGTCTCT